ATAGGCCTTCTCTGTGTAGCCCTGGCTGCCCTGGAGCTTGCTCTGTAGACCAGGCTGGCCTCCAACTCACAGAGACCCACCCGCCTCTGCCTTGTGAGTGCTGGAATGAAAGGTGTGAGCCACCACCTCCCAACTTAATTTTTCAGTCCTTCGGCCCCAGCTTCCTGTGCTATGCTGCCAGTGCCCACTTCCACGCCGCCACTGAATATATGTTACAGCTGATTTGGTGATCAGCTCCATTTCGTGTCTCCACTTTGAGTTTGCCTATGTACAGGCCACACTTTCCTACATCTTCCTGTTGGTCATTTCTGTCACGTGCTGGACAGTATGTATGCCTGACGCTGCTCAGCACATGCTGCCCTGACAGGACAGGTAAGGACTTTTGTTCAGTAAGTCATTCATTTAATTGGGGATCAGCTAATCTCTTTCTTTACTGGAACTGTGTGTTTTCTTTTCCTTTTTATGTTTGTTTATATATGAAGGGACACACACATGGCACAGCCCGTGTGGGACGGTCGGTCAGAGGACACCTGGTGGGTGTCAGTTCTCACCTTCTATCATGTGGGTCATGAGGATTGAACTCATGTCTTCAGGCTTAGCAGCAAGTGCTACCGTTGAGCCATCTCTCGGCCCTCTGGCTGGTTTGTTGGGATGAGTCTTTGGGATGAAGTTAGTCTGTTGGTTTTCTGAGGTCCCGCCAAAGCCTTGGGGTTCTGAAGACCTGTCTGGCTGTCGGAAAGACAATCCTCACCCAGCCCCACCTCGTTCCGGTCGCTCTTCAGACCCTCGCATGTCCCTGAAAGGTGTTCTGTGTTTCCTGAGTTATATCTCCCCTCATGGCCTCTGCAGCTGTGACCTTTAGGGCCCATCCATCGAACGTGCAGTTTTGTGTTCCCTTCTCCCTGTCCTGAGATCCCTGAGGGAGGGAGGGAGCAGCAGTCTCCCGGGGCACCAGTCTCCATTTCCTTATCTAGAAAGTTCCCAGAGAGTCGGGGGGACTGTGCACATCCATTCCTTTCTCAAGAACACAGTGCGCGTTTTATTGGGTTTCCTGACCGTGAAGGAGGGAGAGGCAGCAGCAGTTACTTGCCAGGAGTCGGAATCCCATCATTCACGTGTTACAGCCCTGCCTCTGCGCAGTTCCTGACCGTTGCTCTGTACTTCCACATGTTCTTTTACACTGAGCTTAAAAACACTTACACGTCTCTACTTATCTGTGTGTGTGGCAGCGCCCCTGTGGCAATCAAAAGACGAGAGTGGGGTCTTGCCACCATGTGAGTTCTAGGAATTGGACTCAGGGTTGGTCCTGACCTAGTGTCTTTACCTGCTGAGCCATCTCGCTGGCCCTACAGTGAACTTTTGAGGTATTGATTTTATTTAAAATCTTTTACAAATTTTATTTACTTTCTGTGGTTGGGTGTTTTGCCTGTGCACTGTGTATGTATTGTGTGGGCTCCTGACGTCTACAGAGGCTAGAAGAAGCTGTTGGATTGCCCAGAGCTGGAGTTACAGACGGTTGTGCCATTATATGGGCACTGAGACTCAAACCCAGGTCCTCTGTAAGAGTAGGAAGTGCCTGTAACACCTGAATTTGAACCCCAAAGAATTTATCATTATTTATTATTATTATTAGGGTTTTTTTTTTTTTGTTTTTTAGACAGGTTTCCCTGTGTAGTCTTGGCTGTCCTAGAACTCACTCTGAAGACCAGGCTGGCTTTGAACTCACAGATCTGCCTCCTTTGCCTCCCAAGTGCTGGGATTAAAGGTGTGCACTAGCATCACCTGGCTTTATTATTATTTTATAATGTACGAGTGCTCTGTCTGCATGCATACCTGTACGCCAGAAGAAGGTATCCACTCCCCTTATAGATGGTCATGAACTACCATGGGGCTGCTGGGAATTGCACTCAGGACCTCTGGAAGCCAGCAAAGGGTGTCTTACCCCCAGGAGCTGGAGTCACAGAAGGTTGTATTTCCATGTGTGTGTGCTTTGACCTGAACTCGGGTCCTCTTTGAGAGCATTTGCTCTTGACCAGTAAGCCATTCTCCAGCTTCATTTGTCTGTCTTCAAGACAAAGAGGGTCTTACTATATAGTCCCGCCTGGCCTGGAACTCATAGAGATCCACCTGCCTCTGCCCCTTGAGTACAGGTGTGTGCCACCACACCTGACCATTTCTCCAGCTTTCACTGCCCCTTGCCTGGTAGGCATAGAACCCAGGGCCTTCGGTAGACACTGTCCCACTGAGTCACACCCCTGTCACACTGAACTCGTGTAAAGATTCTGGCCTGGGGAGAGGGCTTAGTGGGACAGGTATGAGCACTTGAGTTTGGCCCCTCAGCATCTATGTAAAGCCAGGTGTGACCGTGCGCACCTGTGATGTCAGAGCTGCTGGAGGCAGAGCCAGGAGGATAAAGGGCTTGCTGTCTGTTGGCCTACCTCTAGCTTGTAAGACTGCCTCCAAGGAATAAGGTGGAGGGCGATGGTGCAAGACAGTTGATGGCACTCTGGTCTGTATGTGCGTGCATGTGTGTGTGTACACATATACACAACTCACAGTTCAGGCCACATTTAAACTATTGATTATTTGTGTGTGTGTGAGGTGTATGCATGTGAGTATAGGTACCAGGAGAGGCCAGAAGAGGTATCAGATCCGCCAGGAGCTGGAATTATAGGCAGTTTGAAGCCACCTGACATGGGTGCTGGGCTAAACTCAGGGCTTCTGGAAGGGCTGGAAGGGCTCTTCATTGCTGAGCCATTTCTCTGGCCCTCTGGCCACACCCCTGTGTTCACTCAGTCACCCAGCAAAAAACGGGAGTGTTGCAAAGTGTGCTGTGTCCGGGCACTGTTCAAGGTACTGAACTTGCAACTGTGCAAGATGGCAAAAGTCTTCGTGGAGCTGAGAGCCGAGTAGGACAGGCAGCCAATCAGCAGGCAAGTCAGTGTCATGTCTATTACTATGTCCTCAGCAGCAGAGAGAGACACTGTCTGACCCTGATGCCAGTGGCCAGACAGGTCACTCCACCCTACCCGGGCACCTTCCCTCAGGCAAAGCAGGATAGGATGTGGTAGGAGAATTTCCAGAGTGAGCCAGAGCAAAGCAAAGAAAAAGTTTATTTAGTAAGCAGACAGACAGATGGACAAAGGGCAATCTCAAGACACAGACACTGGCTTCTCAATGGAGAAAGTCACACAGGTATCTACAATGGCTATTTATAAGATCCTTCAGCTTTCTAAGATTCCTAAAAAGATGTAATTTATAAATTTTTGGGTTTATTTTAGCTATGCAGGGTTTCTCTGCCTAGCCCTGGCTGTCCTGAACTCATTCTGTAGACCAGGCTGGCTTCAAACTCACAGAGATCCACCTGCCCCTGCCTCCCAGAGTGCTTGGATTACAGGCATTCGCCACTGCGCCCAGCTATGCAAGTGATTTCTGCTTTGTCGGCTGCACTGAAGTTTCTCACGGCTCAGTAGGCAGGAGAGGCAGCCTAGATCCCAGAGGGAGGGGCTTCTATCAGCGTGACTGTGATGAGGCCATGAAGACACATGAAGGCCATGAAGGGTAGGGAAGGGATGGGGTTGGGGATGAGGCTGAGCCTCTCAGGTGAGCTTGGAGAAGCCTCCCTGCAAGCATGTCGTCAAGGATACCAGCAAGAAGGGCCAAGTGTGGAGAGCCACGGGAGAGCTTTAGGCAGAGGGCACGCCATGGTGTCATCAGATGCTGGAAAGTTCTTTATGGCTCCATGTGGAAGAGGGAAGCAGCAGGAGGCTGCTGCAGTACTGCAGGCATGCACATCTAGACCATGTCAGGTCTAGAGATGCGGGAGCAGGTCGTGTTCGGAGTACAGTCTAAAGGCAGGACCTTCAAGAGTGGTCTGTATGGATTATACGCTTCAGTGATGAACTCCTAGTCACTAATAGAGCATCTGTGTCACATTAAGGAAAGGAATAACAAGTGCTTCCCCTTGGAGTTCAGATATGAATTCTCCACCACACGCTTCCTGCATCTTCTCTTCTGTGGGAACCTGTGCCGGCCTGAAGAAGGCTGTCTTGTGAATTTGTCCCTGACTATGTCTATCTTCACACAGGGCTTCTCTCTTACTGAACAGCACAGGGAAGGGATGGGACACTTTACAGGAATCTTATCCAGAATTTTATAAGGATTAAGTCACTGCCTTCAACTGTCCCAGACGACAACAGTAACACAAACGTCGCTGTTTATCAGCCAATAGCCATAAATGGATATTCGTTTCAGAAGGCTGATTTTAACCTCTGTAGCTGCTGCTTTCAGCAAACGACACACATGCATTGTTCTGGGTCAGGGGCACGGAAGAGAGCCTGATTTCAGATCGCAGCCATGTGCTAGCTTTAGTTGTAGGCTCGGTGGGAAATCGGGAGCAAGTCGGGTTAGTTGCTACATTGTTCTCTGAAAAGCAGATTAACAGGCAGACTGAGTGCACCGTTGGATAGCCCCTCTTCTTGTTTTTTTGAGATAGGGTCATACTATGTAGCCCAGCTGGCCTTGAACACCTCTTCCTCGTTGCCTTCACCTCTCAAATGCTGGCATGACAGGGTGTGCCACTATGCTGGGTATACTTGGAAGAACCCCCCTTTCTGCCTGAGAGAACTGGTCTGTGGAGCATAGGGTTTAGCTTCTGTGGGTTCCCTGTGGAACTGAACTTTTGCTTTGGGAGGCTTCCCCTTCTGCTCTTTTCTGAGCATGCGCCGCTCTTCTGGCATTTACATGTGGGCCTTATGTTGAGACTGGGCTGCAACACAGTGGCTGACTGCCGGCCAGACTGCAGGGGCCTGTCTGGTGGCTTTGGGGCTTCCTGTTGCCTCATGTACACTGAGATACTAGGTTCCAAAAATAAGTGCCCCTAAAACTCCCACCTTTTTGACCTGGGCTAGGATGATCTGAGTACCCTGGGCCCGGCTTGGGCTCTGCTCCCCATCGCAGCTACAGGACCCTCAACTGCTTGTTCTGTCCCACCCCTCCAGGCTGTCACTCGCAGACCCAAGGTGGCTTCCGCCAAGAGGATGAGCAAGTTCCTGAAGCACTTCACCGTGGTTGGGGATGACTACCACACGTGGAATGTCAACTACAAGAAGTGGGAGAACGAGGAGGACGAGGAGGACAAGGAGGAGGCGGCCCCCACAGCCGCTGAGGGCGAGGGCAGCGCCTCCCCCGATGCCGAGGCTGGCCCTGTCCCCACACCCAGGCCATCGCTGGACTTCAGGGGCAGGCTGAGGAAGCTCTTCAGTTCCCACAGGTTTCAGGTAAGAGATGAGGCTGCCAGGTCTCCAGGGTGGCAGCTCTTCGCCCCCGCCACCTGTGCATCCCACAGGGGTTTTCCGAGTGCCTGCCACACGCTGTGTCCCATGGTCTGACCTGTCTTAACCTCTGAAAGAAGGTTAAAGGTCATTCCTTCAGAGGATATGACTTGGGCATGACAAAGGAGGACATGTGGACCTGTGATGCAACTTTGAAAACATGACCTCAGGGACAGGCCAGGCAGGGAAGGTCCCAGTTGCAAGGGATGGTGGGTAGCTGAACCGTCCAGAACGCATGCCCAGCTGGGTAGACAGATGGGAGGCCGTGGGAGGGAGGGGAGGAGGAAGTGGGTAGATGTTTTCGAAAGATGGGATTGCCTTTTGGGGCAGTGGAGACACACCAGAGCCAGACAGTGCTGGCAGCTGCGTCTCACGGCTGCACAGGGCCACAGAGCTTTAGGCGACCTATGAGTGGTCACTTTACGCTGGTTATTTCCACACTGTGGGAAGTCTGCCTGTGTGTACACGCAAAGTACGCTATGAGAGAAGCATTCATTCCGCAGAGTGCCTGCTTCTGGACACGGTCAGGAGGGTTCCCTGCTCTGCAAGCTCATCACCACAGGCCGGGCCCTCAGACCCTTCTTTAAGGGGTGGAGACAAGGACATACGGGCTGGGGAGGTGGCTAATGTGCTTGTGCCAGCATGAGGGTCCTGTGTTTGGCTCCCCAGCACCCAGGGAAAATGTTGGGTGTAGCAGTACGTGCCAGTGATCTCAGCACTGGGAGGTAGAAACAGGTTTCTTGGGGCTCGCTGGCCAGCTGGGGAGCCCCAAGCTGGCTCTTGCTGTCATCACCTTGCCAGATGCTGCCATGGGGAGAGGGACTACCTAGCTTCAGAAAGAAACAGCTGAGCTGAGCTCTGTCTGTGGAGGCCATCTGTTCCAACACTGTGAAGGGCAAATTTTCAAAAGATTTATTTATGTATAAGTGTGTGTGCACCATTCGCATGCTGGAGCCCTTAGAGGCCAGGGGCGTCCAATCCCAATCCCCTGGAGCTGGAGTTCCAGGTGGGCGTAAGCCACCTGATGGGGGTTCTACGAACCGAACCTAGGTCCTCTGCAAGAGCAGTAAGCATTCTTAACCACTGAGCCCTATTGCCAGCCCTGTGAACAAGGGCAGGCTCCTGGCTCTGCTCTGAAGTGGCAAGCAGGTGTCTAAAAGCATGGCTACCCTAGGAGAATGCAAGAGAACAAGGGTAGAGGGATGGGCACAGCTCCTGGTGGGCCCAGTACCACAGGGAGGCACTTTAGGGATGCCGCTCTGGGCATCAGAGCCCAAGGCCCTTCCGGACGCAGGGAGAAGCAGGCCCGGTCTCATCACTGTTCTCAAGGAAAATATGTCTTTGTCTTTTCTCCACTTAAAGCTAGCCAACAACCCAGCACCCCTTGCCTCTTGCCAGCCCCTCTGAGGCTGCAGCAGGAAACATGGTATTATGTTGTTGGGGTTGAAATCCCAAACCTGCAATTTCAGAGCAATTGGAGGGAGCCAGTTTCCTTCCAGCTGTCAAGGGAGCCCCGCCCCCACCCCCTCTGGATGTCCCTGCCTTTGGAAGGGACTCATCCCGCCACTCTGCCTGCTGGTCTTGGGTCTGACACAAGGTACTTATCCTCTTGGGCGGGAGGGGAGTGATCCACCTATGGGGGGGGGGCAGCAGGCTGGTGTGACAGTCCGCAGAGTGGCCGGAATAACAACTGCTGCTTAGCATGGCTAGATGACCCCTGCAGACAGAAGTCAGGAATCAGGTAGTCAGTCGGGACTGTCACCTGGCACTCAAGGCTGAGCGCAGCAGGTCCCAGGGGTGGAAGGTCATGTTTCAGGCAGGGGATTGAGTCTGTTGAGGGCCTGGTATGGAAGGAGACTGTAGTCTGCTGAGCAGGGGAGTGGAAAGGGGTGCAAGGCTCCTGGGGAGAAAGCAGCGTGGTTGCTCAACGAGGCAAGCAGTACTGTGGACAGGCTGTGGGTGGGTGACATGGCCAGATCAGCTGAGGACCTTGGATGGAAGCCAGATGGGATGGGAGGAGGGGCAGGGGTTCAGGACTCTTGCTCTCTGCTGGTAGGATCTGCAAGACATGGTGACAGGGTGCTGTCACTTGTTACATGACATGGCATAAGGAGGAAGATACAATGTCAGGTTCCGGGGAAGGCCAACCTGGGATGGGTTTGGCACTTTGCTCTTGACCAACAGGCAGCCAGAGCTAAGCCCTCTGCTCACCAGGCCTCAGTGCCCACTGTCACTCAGAGAACAGGGCGTGGCCAGTTGAGGCTTCGGTTCCAGTCCCCAGTGCAGGCTGATGGAACCCTGCAGTTGGCACCCCACAGGGGAGGATGTGCAGCCAGGTGGAGGGTCACCAGTTCCTAGAGGACAAGCACATTTTCTTGGTCTTTCACTTCTAACTTCAGGTGACAGTGATGTGGTGTGAAATTAGTCATTTGAAAGTGAGTATGTCTGTGTAGTGTATAGGATACTTTATTCAGTTTAGAATATTGTCACTGTCCATCCTGCCCTGCTGGGACACCTCAGTCTGCATTTTACCTGCAACCTGGGGACCATCGAATCCCGAGGTTCTAGCTGTCTGCACCCAGCGTAACACATTCTCAGCTCATCCATACGGTAGCACAGATCCATGCTTCATGCCTTTTCCTAGCTGTGTGGTGAGCCTGTTCTCAGTATGGATGCGCTTGGGTTTTAGGTCATGTGACTTTGTGGATCCTTCTAGTTCTAAAATAACCAAGAATTTAAAACAAAAACAAAATCCAGACTGGGAAGATGGTTCCATCACTAAAGTGCTTGCCGTACAAGTAACAGGGCCCCAAGTTCTGGGGCCCAGAACCCAGGCTTTAAAAGGACAGCCCACGAGTCAGGAGGGGCACGAGAGGAGAAGCATTTCTGAAATGGCCGGCCTAGCACTGGACAGGGATCACATACCCTGGGAACCACTACATGGAGGTAGTTCAGCTTTAATCCCAGAGAACAAAGGTTGTAACCCTGGAGAATGGGTGAGGACTCCAAGGATAGGTGTACATAATTGGTTGAAACTAGGAACTTCAAGGATGCTTGATTTGCATTAAACTGCACTCTCCTATCATATGAACGGGAACACAGTACCTAATTATCCTATAGGCACAGGGAGGGGAGAGCTGGCAGGGAGTACTCTCCAGATGAAGTCAGGCAGAAAGCAGTAGGCCCTGCCGGGGAGAGGGAGTCCCGCATCTTAACCCTCCCCCAGAATGGCTATCCATACTGAGAGGACTGGGACCTCAAACAGCAGGGTCCTTCCAACAGAAGAAGCTGCTGTGTAGCACTGAGGAGAGACAGGAGTCCTGGGGCTCACTGGCTGCTGAGTCTAGTGAGCCCAGGCCAGCTCGAGACTCTGTCTCAAAACCTAGGGTCAGGCCAGGTATAGTGGTGCACACCATGATTCCCAGCACTCAGGAGGCAGAGGCAGTGGGATCTCTGTGAGCTTGAGGCCAGCCAAGGTTACACAGTGAAATCCTGTTCCAGCAACAACAAAGCCAAGGTGGGGACTTATAGGGGAGAGCGTCTGAGGGTGTCCTTCAGCCTCCGTGGGTACATGCACCCACAGGAACATAAAGAAACCACTGAACCACCCCTGCCCCCGCCATCACTGCCTGCACCCCCACTCCAGCACGTCACATCCCCACCCGCGTCCTCCCAGTCTCCAGGAAGCCCTGCCTTCTCCCTGTTGCCCCTGACCATACAGGGTGGACATGTCCCACTCTGAGAGCAGGGCTTCCCCCCTACTCCCTGAGGACGGGCAGCCTTTGGTGTGCTGGGGAGGTCCCTTCCAGAACCGAGAGTCCCCTAGGCTGTGGTGCGTCCAACAATGTACTAAGCATTCGTTCTGTGTGTGCCTCAGCAACAGCAAACCACACAACTAGAAAATGGAACTCATTTGCCTTTTGGAGCGGCATTTGCTTTGAGAGCTGGTGCTGGAGAAACAGACTGGATGGCCAGGGGCCAGCGAGGAGCAGGGTGGCCCATTCAAGTCTCACGTCCTCATACCCTCTTGCTCCTCCCCCAGGTTGTCATCATCTGCCTGGTGATCCTGGATGCCCTCCTGGTGCTTGCTGAGCTCCTCCTGGACTTGAGGATCATCAAGCCAGATGAGAAAGACTATGCGGAAAAGGTGTGCACGGGGCACAAGCGCAGGCGGGGGCAGGTCCACTGGTGGTGCAGCGCCCAGGCCTGTGTGTGTCGGCCTGAGCGGCAGCCCCGGCCACCTTCACTTTTCAGTTCAGACAGACTAGCCTCAGCTAGGTTCCTGCCTCGGCTTCCCAAGTGCCGGGATTGCAGCATATAGAAATGTATTTATTATATACATGTATGTAATATATATATATATATTTTTTAAGACAGGGTCTTGTTACGTAGCATTGACCTTGAACTTTCAATCCTCCTGTCTCAGCTTCCCAAGTACTAGGATGAGAGCCAGGCCTGGCCAGAGATGTCTAAGTCTGGCACTGCCTAGTTATCTCTAAAGGGTGGAACCCTTGTCTGTGATGGTGACAGCTGGCCCCAATGCTGCGTCCCCCCTGGTGGCCAGGCAGCGGTGGTTGAGGCTGGCGGGGGTGGCCAGTGACTAGCCTGTGACAGTGCTCCCTGCTCACTCTGTCCCCTCAGGCGTTCCACTACATGAGCTTCGCCATCCTGGTCTTCTTCATGTGGGAGATTATCTTTAAAATCTTCGTCTTCCGATTGGAGTTCTTCCACCACAACTTTGAAATCCTGGACGCCATTGTGGTGGTGTTGTCCTTTGTCCTTGACCTCGTCCTCCTGTTTAAAAAGCACCAGTTTGAAGCTCTCGGTCTGCTGATCCTGCTACGCCTCTGGCGGGTGGCCCGGATCATCAATGGTGCGTCTCCTGTGTTCCCGGGCTACACAGGGGTGTGGGCGCTGTGCTGGGTACTGAGGGGGCAGTGCAGTTAGCAGATGCCCAGCATCTTAGGCCTGGCCTGTGCTGAGGCTGCTTCCTGGGAATCCAGAGAAACATACTACGGTAATACCCAGGGACGAGCTGCTCTCTCTTGAGGGCAGGAGCCCTCAAGTCATTTTTCACTTTCCGCCATGCTTTTCATGGTTGCCAGAAAGTAGTTAGGGAAACGTAGGACTTGTAGCTAAGGTGTCTCTTGGGACTTCTGCCCAGGGCAACACTGGAGGCCATCCTCCAGGACAGACACGGGTGGCTGAGCAACGCTGTGCTGACTACCCCACCCCAGGGTCCCCACCTGGAACACATCAGCACAGGCCAGGCTCTGGGAGCTCCCACGGCTTCCCTAAGTGACCACTGTCTCGGACACTGGGGCAATCCCGGCCAGCTCCAGGCACAAGAGCCGACCTGGCACCGCCCATGTCTGAGGAGCAGTGCTTCTGCAGGCCCATGGCTGGCTGGGGGTTGGAGCTGTGCAGCCCTGCCCAGGAACCACAGTAGTGAACTGTCCCCCTCACCAGCTCTGCTGCAGAGGGCCTGGGCCACGCTCAGGGTTCCTAGGTGTCCAGCCATGCACGGGAAGCCTGGGATGAGGGGGTGGCAGGGTGGCCTGTGACTGGGCTGGGTGTGTCCTCCGATGGGGCTGGGATCTCAAGCACTTGGCTGGCACCTCGTGCCTCACAGCTCACTCAGCTGAAGCCGTGGGGTTGCAAGTTTAGCTCTGGGGAGAAGAGCAAGCAAACAAGGAACATTCCTCTGTGTTGTAAGGAAATGCACACGATAGGTCAGTGCTACATGGGGTCGAAAGGACTTTATTAAAAAGACAGACGTAGCTGGTCAAATATACCACAATGCAGTCACAGTGCGCAGGCTCCCTGAGGGGGCATTGTGGCTAAGCGGCCGGAAGCCTCCCGCTCAAGTGGGGCGGGCAACTCCTGGGCCTATCTGGGTCTCTATCTGAGGGGCAGCACCGGTGCTCCAGACTGGCCATGGGGACGGGAGCCGTGGGCCACTGGAGCTGGGCAAGGCACCCCAAGTCGCCAGGCTGGGTGCCCAGCAGTCAGGGCCTGCTGCAGCACGAGTCCCTGCTTTAACTTCTGTCTTCATTTCCCACATTCTGGACTCTGACCAGGGAAGACAAGCAGCTGTCAGCTACTGCTGGGGACACTTGTCCTTGGTGTCCTTGGGAACACAGCTAGCCTGCAGAGACCCTGCTCCCAAGAGGGCCATAGGGAAATGCTGGGTACTCGCTAGCAGAAACGACAGCCTTGCCCCTCCTGAGGAGGCTGCCTTGATAGCTGTCACACTTGGGTGTGTAGAGACAAACAAGTGAATCTGTGAATTAGAATCCATGTCTTGGCACTGACACTTGCCCTAAGTTTGCTGACCTGACTTCAAGCCCACACGGTGACTCCCATAAGCTGCGCTTTGACCATCCACATGCGCCCTGTGGGGCGAGCTTGCGCCTGAGTGCATGCTTTGTCTTCCTCCCTCACACACACAGTAATATTAAAGCATGTTTCAGACTCCAGCTGTTGCGCCACTGCAAACCCCCTCCCTTCTAGGCATCATCATCTCGGTGAAGATGCGCTCGGACCGGCAGGTCTTGCGGTTAAAGCAGATAAACCTTCAACTGGCCACCAAGATCCAGCACCTGGAATTCAGCTGCTCTGAGAAGGTGAGACTCCGGTGTGGTTCCCCTTCTGTCCCCTGCAGCCCACTGCTGACCACATTCCTGTAGCCTGTTGTTCCCTCTTCCTGGTATTTGTTTACTCACTGGGTGCTGAACCAGGTCCAGTCCCTCCTTTGGGCATCTTTCCTGCCATCAGTGCCCAGGCCCTTCCTGAGAGCTGCTCCCCTCAGAGGCCAGAACGTCCCAGACTGTGGCTCTGAGCTGTCTGTAGCCCCAGACCCTCGGGAATGTGGCTCAGAAGTCCACCACCCAGCACGTGTCTGCTTTGACAATAGGAACGAGAAATTGAGCGACTCAACAAGCTGTTGAAACAGAACGGACTTCTTGGGGACGTGAACTAGCCTTCCAGAAGCTCCACCCTAGAGAAGCTGGGCTGTGGCCAGAGAGCAACTGTGTGCTGCCAAGTCCAGTCCCCATCTTTGCCTTGGCTTGCGCTCCCGGGACACTGGGGACACACCTTCATTGGCGCTGCTGCCTCCCTGCTGCGACCCAGAGCACCTGTCCATGTCCTCCACCTGCAGCAAAGGAATCATAACTACCTTTTCTCAAGCTGGACTCTACTGTCATTCAAAAATGAACACGGGAGCTGGGCTTGTAAATCCCACTTCATGGTGGCGCTTCCCTCTATGTGTAGAGGACCAGCACATCCCGAGGGGGCAGGAGCAGGCACCCTGCACCAGCCCCTTCCAGAGAACCTTTCTTTAGCAGATGGTCCACAGTTTCCCCTGCTGCATCCCCTAGGGGAGCCATCATGGTGCCCAGTGCCGCCTCTGCAGCATCCAGCTGTACCGTTAGCTCTGCCCCCACCAGCCTCTCTCAATCACTATACAATTAATGTATAAAATAAGCGCTCTCCTTTCCCGGGGCCCGCCTACCACATTCTCTTCTTGGTGGCAGCCCAACAGTTAGAGAGCCAGCTCACTGCAGGGGACCCAGACTGCCCTGTAATTAGCATGATCTTGGGGTACAATCCCCTTGCGGGCGCACAGCTTTACACGGTGTCTTGCTGGTTTGTACTCTCAAATGTTGATGGGCGTTTTGAAGACAACTGCTGTTACATCAGGGATGACGCACTAGGAGGCTCTCCATGCACTGCTCTGTTAGGCTCTGTCCCTTCCCACCTCCCGAGAGGTCACATGGCCTGGGACCTGTTGTGCAAGTTGCTGGAACCATCTGACCCAATACCCTAGCCCAACAGAATAAAGGCGGTGGAGGGGGCAGGGGCTCGCTGAAAGGGAGTACCAAGGGGAGCAACAATAGGTTAGTGCTGCTGAGGGAAGACCTTCAGGGTGGGTACTCACTCCTACAGGGGCCACTCTCGTCACACAAACGGGAAGAAGAAGCTGAAGGGCAGCCTGGCGTTGATGGTGGGTGGGGCTCGGAAGCCTGCCTCCGCAGGCGCCGACACATCCACAAATGTCACCGTAGTGGAAATGACAATCGTCCTCTCGGGCCCTGGGAGGGGCTGGAAAGACAGAATAGGCATCCTCATCTTCTGCGATCAACCCGCCGTCACTGCCAGCTTGAGTCTGGCAGATACGTGGAGTCCCTAAGGTACTCTGTGGCTGAGTGCGCTATGGAACAGGCTCCAGGCTGGTCCAGCAGTAGTTGGTTGTTCATAAGAATTGTGGCCACAAATAAAACCTATCAATTTTCCCTGTAAATACAACTTAAAGAACGTTTATGAAATAATTAAGTTAGGCACGATGGTGCTTGTCTGTAACACTCAGGAGGTTGAGGCCGAGGGTCACAAGGTTGAGACCAGCCTGTGCTATATGAGAAGATCCTGTGTCAGAACATCAGAATGCAGCAGCCCTCTATCTCTGCTCATGGGGGCTGTGACATGAGGACTAACTGCTCACGTCCAGCCTTGAGACCCTATTGTACAAGAGTCGAAATCTGAATAGAAATGATCTTTTGTACCAAATAATAAACTTCTGTCACACTTGCTGTCACCTGGCTTTCTGTCTTCATCTGTTCCTTTTATTTCATTGTAGTTTATTTCAGTGTGCGGCTAGGGGTTGGCCCAGGTTTGGAGGGGGCCTATAGCCAGGTGGTGGTGGTGGTACATGCCGCCATTAATCCCAGCACTCAGGAGGCCAGCCTAGTCTACTAGGAGTTCTAGGACAGCCAGGGCTACACAGAGAAATCCTTTTCAAACAAACAAGAATGGGCCACATCCCAGCCCATGGAGATTTCGTCAGCAGGCCTACCTCTGGAATTGAGATGAGCTGGGCAGTGACATTCACAATCCTGGCCTGGGGGTTCAGCAGAGAGCCGTACTTAGTCCATTTCACTTCTATACCCAAAGCCACAGGGAGCTGGCAAGAACCCTGCACGAGAAAACTAGGTTAAACCAAAATATTACACAACCACAAGTCAGACTAAATCTGCAAGTGAGCACTTTAATTATAAAATGTTTGCCAATTACAAAATGTTCGGAACACAAGGGTGAGCATGCCATACAAATTCAGGTACAGACAGCTCTACAGAGCCTGAGTTGTTATTTTTTTTAACCCTTCAGTCAGAGCCCTTTCATTCTTCTCTTTTTTTAAAAAATAAATTAATTTTACTTTTATTAATTAGTTTATTCACTTTGTATCCCAGCTGTAGCCCACTCCCCCATCCCTTCCCAATCCCATCCTCCCTTCCTCTTCTTCTCCTACGCCCCTCCCCTAGTCCAATGATAGGGGAGGTCCTCCTCCCCTTCCATCTGACCCTACTCTATAAGGACTGGCTTCATTGTCTTCCTCTGTGGACTGGTAAGGCTGATCCCCCCTCAGGAGGAGGTGATCAAAGAGCCAGCCCCTGAATTCATGTCAGAGACAGTCGCTGTTCCCATTACGAGGGAACCCACTTGGATACTGAGCTGCCGTGGGCTACATCTGTGCAGGGGTTCTAGGTTATCTCCACGAATGGTCCTTGGTTGGAGTATCAGTCTTACAAAAGACCCCTGTGCCCAGATTTTTTGGTTCTGTTGCTCTCCTTGTGGAGCTCCTATCCCCTCCAGGTCTTTCTTTCTCCCCCTTCTTTCAGAAGATTCCCTGAACTCTGCCCAAAGCTTGGCTATGAGTCTCAGTATATGTTTTGATAACCTGCTGGGTAGAGGCTTTCAGAGGCCCTCTGTGGTAGGCTCCTGTCCTGTTCCCTGTTTTCTCCCTCTTCTGATGTCCATCCCATTTGCCTTTCTGAATGAAGATTGAACATCTTACCCAGGGTCCTCCTTCTTAATTGGCTTCTTCAGGTATACAGATTTTAGTTATGATTATCCTATATTATACATCTAATATCCACTTATAAGTGAGTATATACCATGTGTGTCTTTCTGCTTCTGTGATACCTCACTCAGGATGATCTTTTCTAGATCCCACCATTTGCCTGCAAATTTCATGATTTCCTTGCATTTAATTGCTGAGTAGTATTCCATTGTGTAAATGTACCACAATTTCTGTATCCACTCCTCAACTGAGGAACATCTGGGTTGTTTCCAGCTTCTGGCTGTTACAAATAAAGCTCCTACAAACATGGTTGAGCAACTGTCTTTGTTGTATACTTAAGCATCTTTTGGATATATGCCTAGGAGTGGTATAGCTGGATCTTGGGGTAGCACTATTCCTAATTGTTTGAGAAAGCACCAGATTGATTTCCAAAGTGGTTGTACAAGTTTACATTCCCACCAACAATGGAAGAGGGTTCTCCTTTCTCCACAACCTCTCCAGCATGTGTGGTCACTTGAGTTTCTGATCTTAGGCATTCTGATAGGTATGAGGTGAAATCTCAGGGTTGTTTTGATTTGCATTTCCTGATGACTAAGGATGTTGAGCATTTCTTTAAGTGTTTCTCTGCCATTCAGTGTTCCTCTATTGAGAATTCTCTGTTTAGCTCTGTACCCCATTTTTTAATTGGATTACTTGATTTGTTGCTGTTTAACTTCTTAAGTTCTTTATATATTCTGGATATTAGCCTTCTGTCAGATCCATCCCTGATCTCAAGCTGTACTATAGAGCAACAGTAATAAAAACTGCATAATGCTGGCATAGAAACAGACTGGTGGATCAATGGAATCAAATAGAAGATCCAGAAATAAACCCACACACTATGGACACCTGATTTTTGACAAAGATGCCAAAACCATACAATGGAAAAAAGACAGCATCTTCAACAAATGATGCTGGTCTATCTGGATGTCTACACATAGAAAAATGCAAATAGATCCATACTTATCACCCTGCACAAAACTAAAGTCCAAGTAGATCAAAGATCTCAACATAAAAAACAGACACACTAAATCTGTTAGAAGAAAAAGTGGGGAAGAGCCTTGAACTCATTGGCACAGGAGACAACTTCCTGAACAGAACTGCAACAGCACAGGCTCTAAGAGCAACAATCAATAAACGGGACCTCTTGAAACTGAAAAGCTCTGTAAAGCAAAGGGCACCGTCGTCAGAACAAAACGACAGCCTACAGACTGGGACAGGATCTTCACCGACCCTCTATCTGACAGAGCCCGAGTTAATAAAGCGCCCTGCACTGTGGCTACTACTAGGTAGTAGCCTGGAGACAGAGTCCAGCCCCTCCCATTTCCAAAGCGCAGTCACTGTGGAGTCATGCAGTTCCACTACCCAGCGGTGGGACCTTCAGGGCCTCCACCATCCCACATCCACCAGAGATGCTTCTGGAAACTAACGAGAGGGAAAGCAGGAAAGAGACTAAGATGGAATGTAACGGAGAAAAGGTGGACTCGATCATATGTCATGTTGAGATGCAAACGGGAAATATATGTATGCTTTCATCTCGTTTCATCACCTAGCATGAAGATACAATGACTTGGATGTGGAGAGATGACTCTGCTGTTAAAAGCACTAATGACTCCTGCAGAGTCACCTGGGTTCAGTCCCAGCACCCACAGCAGCTCACACCTACCTGTAGCTCCAGTTCTAGGAAACACCCTTTTCTAGCCTCTGCACACACTAGGCATCCATATGGTGCACATACATACATGTAATCACTCCTACACATGATTTTTTTTAATCTTAAAAAATAAAATAAGATAGCCGGGTGTGGTTGAGCACCCCTTTACTCCCAGCACTTGGGAGGCAGAAGCAGTCAGATACTTTTGAGTTCCAGGCTAGTCTGGTCTACACTCATGAGTTCCAGGACAGCCAGGGCTATATAGAGAGACTCTGTCTCAAACCAACAAAGCAAAGGTAACAGTGCATCATATTCACTGAAGGGGCCAGCATGGAGATGCCTGAGCTACGGCTCAATCCCGACTCTGCCCCAGGCCCTTTGCTTGAACAGTCCCAAGTTAAGTGGACATTGGGCCCTCCAGACCTTCTTCTTGCTGCTAGCTGTGGAAGTGCAGAAGCTGCACAGTGGGTGGATGAGGAGCCCCTAAACTATGGTACTTCCCTGTCCTGTATGTTGGAATTTCCACATACATTTTTCTAAATTCTGTCCTGGCATAAAAAGCTAGCAGACTCGCTAAACTAGAGACTTCCAAAAAAGTCTTGCAAGTGCCTCTTAGAAACCTTGCCACTAAATGGGCTTGCCAATAGCCCGTTGCTAGGAGAAGCTGCAGGTGCAGTGGGTGTGAAGAGCACATGCCCTGGGCCTGCTCCCCCTGGCACTAATGACTGGTGTCTTTACCCAGCGCCAGGAAGCTAAGAGCCATATACCAGGTTCACTGGAGGCTGACACAGGGCTGAAGTACTCCTCGGAATGGGGATCTGGTGAGGTTCCTCTCCCACCGTGACACTACTTATAAATCTACAAAGCAGATAATGAGAGGCCTGAAGCAGCTGTGACAAGAAATAGCTGGGCAATTAGGGGAGCATGGGGTGCACACCTCTGCTGGGGACAGCCCACACTTTGCTGCTAAGACAAAAGGAGGAGGTGGGTGGAGGAGTCACATGTGACCAGGAAGCTATTTGTAGGATGTTGGCTTCCATTAAACTCTTTGGGGAACTTTGGAATTAAAAGCGCTCATGTGTGGGTGGGCTGTCATTATAGCCCAGAGGGCATGGAATGGAAGCAGCGGAGACAGGAGACCTCATCCCATTCCCTCATGCCACCAAATGCCTGAGGAAGGCTTACTGCACCACTGCCATCAAAGCTGACCATCCTGGACTGGAGGAAGGTTTGGAGGGCCCAAAGCCCTGTTTTGAAATATTTGCATGACCATGATGACTGAGAAATTCATGAGGCTAGAAAAATCCATTTTCACGTCCACCTCACACAGAAAGGCTAGAGTTAATGGTATTTCAGTGCATCCAAGCTTTGATGATGACCACCACGGGATCGTGGGTGGTGACATGTTGGCACTAAGAAAGGTTCAGACTCTGATGTCAGATTTTTGGACAAGAGGATTTCTCAACCATCGTGACTGTGGTAGCCACTTGGAGTGACTGCTGTGTCCTGCCAACAGCAAAGCAAACTTCACCCTCTGGATGGCCCTGTGAGGTCAGTGATGTTCTTTCTGAAGGGCTCTAGGAGGCCCAACCATGACAAGCATGGCTCTGGCAGGCCTTGTCTGCCTTGATAAATTGTTAATTGCTTTCCTAAAGCTGGCCACCAAGGTCTCTTCCCTCATATGGCCACTTCCTTCTCCTGAGGCTGACTACCAAGGTTCAGCTATCAGTGTACTGTAGTCCAGCAATCAAAAGCCCTCTTTGTACCCTAATTAAAATTAAACATCTCTGGGCTGGAGAGATGGCTCAGTGGTTAAGAGCACTGTCTGCTCCTCTAAAGGACCTGGGTTCAATTCCCAGCACCCACATGGCAGCTCACAACTGTCTGTAATGCCAATTCCAAGGGATCTGACACCTTAAACTAATGCACATAAAATAAAAATTAAATAAATTATTTAAAAAATTAAACGCCCCATCCTTACAAGGGGTTTGCCTTTATGAATTGCCATTTGCCTGTGGGCCATGTCTGTCTCCTCTCTGCCCAGAGGCAAATATCACAACCCCCATCCCCAATCCCTCATTCCTTTTCCCTTCTCCCTTGTCCTCTGTCTCCTATCTCTGTCTCTTATTCCCTGCTCTTTGTCCCTTTGGGGCAAATAAATCTCCTTTGTGCTGAGAACTTGGTCTTTGGGTGTCCTGTGGTGATTCTGGTCCTTTCAGTTCCCAAGCCATAGTGAAGCAAACAGGCTTGAAAACTGCTGAGAAAGGCATTGTGAAGAAGCACAGAGCTGAAAGCCTAGCTTAGCTAAAGCCACGCCCCTCCTTCCCGGCCCTCCCTTTCCACTTGTGGCCCACCTGGCAGAGGAAGCCACACTAGCAGGTGTCCGGCGGCCTCTCACTCTTTACCTTCATGCTGGAGGAGTGCGGGACAAAGCGCACGGGCACCCAGTCCTGCACGTCCTGGGCCCGGGAATTCCCAAATGCAGCCACGTAGTCGGGGAAGGCCTGGCCTCTCAGCAGATCCTGCATCTTCTGTGCCAGAAGCCCACACGGGACGGTGCCAGTCAGTCTTTGGGAAGGAAAGAGAGGCTAACTAAGGCAGGCACTGGCAAAACACGCCAGCCTCTATGCTTCCAGCCATCCTTCCTCTCCAGAAATGCTGAGGTGGCCCTGACTTTGGGGCAGCATAGAGGTAACCCCAAAATAGTTTCCCAACCTGTGTTCCACCATCTCTCTGTCTGTATGCTGTGCCATGGCCGGAAGCCAGGCAAGAGTGTCTTTCCCGAAGCCTGTCCTCCTGAAAGGTGCTGGCACATGCAGGTTCCATAGGAGGGAACCAGGGTTTATCCTGGGCTGCTGCTCCTGGCATCCTATGGGAAACTGTTCAGTGGAACTCTCAGGAAGAAATGCTAAGCTGACATCTGAGCTGGAAACAAACTTGTGACAGAGTCACTCCAAAGATGTGGGAAGGGTGTTGGTGGAGGAGAAATGAAGGTTTGTACAGAGAGAAAATTCAGCCACAAACATGTAGAACCAAAGAAATGCCATTACAGTGCTCAGGAGGTTGAGACAGGGGGATCAAGAATTTGAGCCTAGCCTGAGCTGTGTCTTCCATATCACATTCCAGTTTTCTTTAGGTGGTTCTCTTGTGCTGTAAAAATCAAAAATCCAGAAACAGGGAAGACTTTCAGGGGAAATATTTTTGCTCAGAACTCAATTGCTATTTGCTCTTTAACCTTAACCGTGAGCACACAGTGCTATTGATAGTGGCTTAGTAAAATAGAAGGGCAGGAGGCTTTCTTTGCCTCTCACCTGAGTTGACAGCCAGACTGCATGTTGTATCCAAACAGCACGGGGTCCCGGAATGCCTCACTGGTGAAGCAGTCCTGCTTGCCTGTGCTACGAAGAATAGTAAGTTGGCCACGTCTGTTCGTTGTCTGAATAATCCCAGACATTCACAGACTGTTAAGGAATGTCAACAGTTCCAGAGCAGCCAGACTGTCCAGGAAGAAGATGGCATCATTGTGTGGCCTGAGCCAGGTGCAATCCCCTTCTCTGGGCTCCTGCCTTGTTCCCAAGAAGGGGCAAAAGATGCCAGGAAATCTCTTCCTTGACTGGCTCACATTCAAAACTAATTCCAGCCAGGTGTGGTGGCCAGGCCCAAAACAAGCTACTCAAAAGGCTAAGGAGGGTTGCACATTTGAGGACTACAGAATCAGTACAGACCAACCAAGGCAACTTGCTGAAACCTTGTTTCAAAATCAAGTGTAGGGAGAGGGCTTGGTGGCAGAGCAAGTGCACTCCTAGTATGGTGTCAGTCCCCACCAAGAGAAAAACAAGTGAAGTTCAACTTTTCAAAGCTGCTCAGTTTGTTTAGGTGTGTGTTTAAATGTGAACTGGCCAGGTGTGGCAGCACATGCCAGCAATGCCAGCACTCAAGAGGCAGAAGGTCTGTGGATGTTTGAGGACAGCCTGGTCCACATAGCAAGCTTTGGTACATAGCTAGAGAGTCCCTGACTCAACAAAACAAAACGAAAAGTGAATGAATGAATGATTCCAACCCCTGTGCCTCCAGGTATCCTTTTAAATACACTGTCATCCACCCCCAAAAGCACCAGTCTCTACTTAAAGCCAGGCCCACCACATTTCACTGGCCCAGAGGAAGCTCTGGCCACTCAGGTACCCCCTTCCCACAGGCTACCCACAGCAGCTTTGGCAACAAATGGAAGCACAGCCCATCTATGCAGACAGGAAAGGGGGCCTTTTTAAACAGACTCCCAAAAAGGATACCCCTTCTGAGGCCGAAAGCCAGCAGCCAGTGGGAATCCCACCCTGTAACCAGGGTTGCCGCTGAGAGGAACGGGCTTGGTGCTGTGCTGAAAGACAAGGTGATGGACAGCCTGTGCAAAAGAACTCAGGTGACAGCGGGGCAGCGCAGCGCTTCTCACGACAGGCGGCACCTGCGAGCACAGCTCCCCCTGTTCTCAAGTATAAGTGGATCCTGGAGAGTGGGAGGACAGCGCTCAATGAACCCACAGGTCCGGGACAGCGCCAGGCTTCCCGGCAAGCCACACACACCACTGCCAGTGCGGGCCGGGGAGCTGGGCCACGCTTCTTAACTGACTGTGCAACCCCCAGAAGTCAGGCTTTCCTCGACTCGCCAGCCAAGCACAACTGTCCAACTTACCTGAATAAAGAGAATCTCAAACTTCTGCTGCAGGAGACGCACCGCGCTGCTCAATGTCCCCAGCACGAGGGAGAGGCTAGCCTCCTGGATCTGGCCCATGGCTGTGTACAGCAGGCAGTACTTCACCTGGGACAGAATGGGCTCATCCACCTCTGCCCAATGCCGCTCAGCAGCCACAGAAACCCCCCAACGCTGCTGTCCATCACATCACTGACGTCCCCTTTGCACCCCAGTGAATAGTCACCTCAGCCTCTCTGTGCCTAATTTTTTGACATTCAGATCAGCTGACTGAAGCACAAGGGAAACAGCCTATTTCTGCAGAAGAAATTAATCGAATAAATGGTGGTGACAATAAATTGTATGTGTAGTGCATGTACGTCCGTGAGTACGTATGTGTATCTGTGTGTGCACGTGTAGAGGCCAGAACATGACACTGAGTGTCTTCCTCTGCAACTGTCTGCCCTACTGCCTTGAGACAGTCTCTCACTGAACCGCAAGCTCTCTATTTCAGCTAGGCTGGCTGACCAGTGCACTTTCGGGATCTGCCTGCCTGTGTTCCCAATGCTGGGGTTATAGCCAAGTGTAGTAGCCATGCCTGGCATTTTACATGGGTGCTGGGGATTTGAACTCAGGTCCTTATGCTTGCAGAATAAACATTCTTACACCACTGAGCCATCTCCCCAGCCCCTAATAAGGAAATTTTGATGCATGCCTGCAAGATGTCTGCTTTGTGGAGACGAGTAAAGGCACGTCCTCGGACAAGAGTGCACAGCAGCAGAAGCAACTGGAGGCCAGGCCAAGAAGAGCATCGTCAGAGGATGGCTCAGAGTCCCCTCTGGAGGCTGTGTTCTCCCTCCAGGTTAACAGGCTGGAGTCAGGCAGTCGGACCGGGACTGCAAAGCCACAGCGGGTGCCTACCTGGAGAACAACGTTGCTGCAGAGTCTATCTTGCCCCGTGTTGACCAGAGACGGCCGCAGGACACCTTGGCCTTCTAACCGAGTCAGCGTGTGATTGAGAGACCGATACATGACAGACTGGATCTTGATGGAGACCTGAGACGGAAGATAGCTGTGGTTATGACATGCATACAAAACATACAGCATGGGTGACCCTGTTACTGCAACTGAACGCTTAAGGACGACAAATGCAAAGACAGGACATGCACACTGCCACACACTGCATGCTGTGAACCCACTTTTGCAAGAGGGCAGGTATTTCCATGCAAACACACATGCATACACACCTGCTCAGAGAAAACTCATAGAGCAGCACTCTAAGATGCCCAGCCCTCACAGAGACAGAAACTACCCAAAAATTCATCAGCTAGAAACGGACCATCAAGTGTCCATCTGCACAAGGAATATTACTCACAAATAAAAATCAAAATCCCAAAATATGCTACAGCATGGGTGAGTGTTAAACCATCAAGTGAAAAAAGCCAGACACCAAAGGCCACATTCACTGTGGACTCCACTAGACATGGAATGCCCACACAGGCAAATGCACAGAAACCAAAGTGCTCATCAGAGACTGGAGCAGAACCGAGAAAACTGGAGTGACGCCTAAGGGAGTACTGGAATTCTTAGGAGTGATGCAAACACTCTGGGGTTAGACGGCAGTGACGCTGGCTCTAAATGCATTCAGTGACAACACTAACTGCCACAGAATTGGTCACTTTGACAGAGTGGAGTGGACAGCATGTGGGAGATCAGGGTTCACAACCCAGCACCAAATAAGGGGGAGACGGCATGGCACATTACAAACTCACACAATCCCATGGCACAACCAGGCGTGTGCACGTGTAAACACAGACACACACAACATGGTCATTCCCAAAACACGGAGTCCACACACCTCTCTGCTCAAGCTTAGGTTCCCAGCCAGAAGCCTGGCTTCCCAGAGCAAACCCTCGCCTCAGGAGACGCACCCAGCCTTCCAGCCACCTCACATACCAGTGGCTAGCTAAGTAGGCAGCAGGATCGGGGAAAGACAGAACCAGACAAACTTTTGGGGAGGTTTCAAGACAAGGTCTCTCTGTGTAGCTTTGGCTGTCCTGGAACTCACTCTGTAGACCAGGCAGGCTAGCCTGGAACTCACAGAGATAGGCCTGCCTCTGTCTGCTGGGATTAAAGGTGTATGCCACCACACAAACTTTTAAACCCTATCAGGAAGCCTGGTGACCCTGATGCTACTAAGGGACATTGTCATTGTGACCATCACCAGAGGAGTGACAACAGCAGTTCCCTAAGGACATCCAGGATGATTCTGACAAGGACTATCTGATTCGATTCCTGGAAGCCACTATTTGGGAAGGTGCCCACAGCACCTGCTCATTACCTGTCTCACATTTATGACAAGCTGTTTATAGCTTACACTGGCAAGTGTTGAAGCCATCACATTAGAAATAAAGATGTAGTCCTTACATACTTGCTCCCATGACTAAGGCAACCTACAATTGCCCTCTCAGGTTGAAATCACTGGTTCCCATGGAGCAACAGTCTGGGGACATGGGTGACAGGAAAAAAAAAAAAAAAAGGCAATTTCTACAACTCTCTATGCTTTCCAAGCTGCCCCAACAGCTTGAGTCAAATGGGGAACTGGGCTGTGACTTACCCTAGATCTTTTTCTGTTTTTTTTGTTTTTTTTGTTTTTTTTGTTTTCCAGACAGGGTTTCTCTGTGTAGCCTTGGCTGTCCTGGACTTGCTTTGCAGATCAATCAGGCTGGCCACAAACTCTCAGAGATCTGCCTCCCAAGTGCTGGGATCAAAGACATGCACCACCAAGCCCGGTTCTTATTAAAACCAAAATACTGCTGGGCCTGGTGGCACATGCCCCCCAAGCACTTGGGGGGCAGAGGCAGATGGATCTCTGTAAGTTCCAGGCCAGCCCAGTCTACGGAGTCCAGGATAGCCTGAGCTACACAGAGAAACCCTGTCTGGGGCAGGGGTGGAGACCATGTGGACTGGCTAAGCTTGACGGGTAGAATCAAGGCGTTTTCTAGAGGCTGGACAGATAGGTCACAGAAAGGCCAGACATATCTTTTGTTTTGCTTTGTTTGAGAGCAGGGTCTCACTGTGTTGCTCTGACTGGCCTTAAACTCACAGAGATCTGCCTGCCTACACCTTCCAGTTGTCAGGATTAATACCATGTGCATCTGTACCTGGGTAAAAATAAACAGAAATCTTTGGATTTGTTAAAAACAGTGGATAACTCAACTCAAGAAATGTGATACCTGTAGTTGACCTCTAGCCAACAACATATGCACGTACCTGCACACATCCTCCCAATCCCATCCCCACTAAATCTCTCTCTCCCTCTCTCTCACACACACACACACTTTATGTTTTTACCTGTGTCGTTGAGTGAGGCACCTAGACAAAAATAAACAACTGAATTAGGCACAACAAACATATTTCTACAGCCTTTTCAGACTTCAACTAAGAGCCAATTCATCATTAGAGGATCACCAAGATGGCAGCTGTTTCTCCACGCTTCTATTTGTGTGCTGGTCACTGCAGTCCTTCTACAATCTCGTCTTCCTATCAGAAGCACTATGTCAGGGGCCCGCCTGCTTTGGTGTCACTGTTTCACACTGCGTTGCACGAGAGGCTCTGACACTGGGGAAAGAGACGTAGCTTGGCCCTGCACGCTGCTTTCCCTGGTCCTGTCTTCACTGGAGAGCAACATCCCTGGCACAGAAGATTCCCAGTAGCCTCCCTCTTCAAGCCTCAACGTCATGACAGCACAACTCAGCTGTCTTTCCAAAGGCTCACCTTCCCACTCTCATTGCCACATAACTTTCCAGGCCTGGGTGCCTTGGGGAAGTGACAGATAAGGCAGGCTGGGGGAAGCCTGTGCCAGAGAGTGCTACAGCTTGCCACATTCTAGGACAATGTGAGAATTCAAACCTATCAGAACTCAGGCCTGGAGGACCAACTTAGAAAACACGAGGGAGATTGGAGGGGTAAAGCTCACTCTGGTATGGAGCCCAGGCTGCCCTACCTGTGCAACCCTAATAAGAACTCAGAAATCGAGGGGCCTTGGACACAACCCCATGGTTGAGTCACCGTTTCCTCTCTGGGCCAGGGCCTTGCTCTCTGAGCAGTCTGGCTCAGTCACAATCTCCAAGGGAAATGGCCCTTTCCTGGGGACCTTGGTGCCCACCTAGCCCACTGCCAAGTCTTTTTGTGACTGCCCCTCTGTCTCTAACCAGAGGGGCCCTTCCCTTCCCTGCTGTTCCCGAGAGTCCACTTTTTATGGTGCTGACAGGGCACCATAAAAAATGCCACAGACACTACACTGTAGACTTTCTAAAGTCGTAAGCAGTCATTGAAGACCTGGCCTTGGTCAGCTGCTATCAAGATGAATGAAGGGAATTTTAAAGCTGAATGGAAACAAAATACAACCGAACTACGTGAGAACTTCATAAAGATCACTTCAGCCAACAGAATAGCCAGTCAATTCTGCATCCAGATGATTCTTACCCTCAGAATGGCAGGACTGCTGTAATGAGCCATGCTGAGGGCTGCCATTCCTTCACACTGCTCTATGTCCACTCTACGGCTGCACTCGAAGGCCTGGCTCACCAGAAATGCTGGAAATGGCGACATCCGGGAGTGGGGAAGGAGGGGAGGGACAGGAGAGGGATGCACAGAGCATGTTCAGCCAGCAAGTGGGAACTGAAAACAGTCATGTATAAAAGGCAGAAGAAGCCACAACACACATGCCCCATGTTTACACTGGGACTTAAAACTGGCTTTAACCAGGAAAACCTGCACACAAGATTCTAAATTCAAAAGGCGCAAAAGATACTGGGCAGTGTCTCCTTCCAATCCTGCCCCCCACCCCTGTCCCAGAGGGAGAGCATAACTGCCTGCTGAAGTTTCCAGAAATACTATGCAAATAAAACAAAACACATACGTAAAAAGACTTTTTTTTAACAATTACTTTCCCCTTTTGGACATAGATGCACACATAACCCCCTCTTCCACACATTTTTCCATGAGCAATGAAGGCATCCTGAAGACCTTCCAGCAGCCAGGAGGGGATAATTAGTGTTCTCTCTCGGCTGCAGTGTAATTACTCCCCAGTTCCCTGCTAATGGGCACTGCAGTCATCTCTGCCCTGGCTGTCGCTGTCACCATCTGCACAGGGCTTCTGCCTGCGGCCAAGCCTTCCTGCAGGAGCTCTGGTAATGTTGATCCATATGTTGTCCTCCCTTTGGCAGGGTGTGACCAACTGTTCCACCAGCGCTGCAAGGGCAGTATGTCTCCCCACAGCCTCGAACTTTTTGAGCTTTGTCACTCTGAAAAGTGGAAATGGCTTCTGAGCTTGACTTGTTTGCTCTTTGAGACAAGGTCTCGTTATGTAGCCCAGGCTGGCCTCAAATTGGTGGTCCTCCTTCCTCCATCTCTAAAGAGCCAGGGTTTGAGGCATGCCCACCTCACCAGACTTGAGTTGGTTTTAACTGACATTGGCCTACTATGTGCAGGAAGCTTCTTCTCAACAGAACTTGTTACGCCATCACTCACTACAGCTGCTCACTACAGCCCCTTACCTACAGCCCCTCAGAGCTGGCTGGGGGTCAGAGAGCCACAGCCTTGGCTTTCTGCTGCCCAGGCCTGCCTCTTGGCTTCTCTACTGTCCTGGGAGAAATGGGTCTTGCCAGGCACTTAAGCACCATGGTCTCGGTGCTAACACTGTAGGAGTCAGCCCAAGAAATCCTATGCAAGCAGGCATGAGGTGCACACCGCGGATCCCACACTGGGGAGGCTGAGATACACAAAAAGATCCTGACTCAGAAAACAAACATGAGCTGGTCATGACAGCACATGACTGCAACACCGGGATGGCAGAGGGAGGCACAGAGGCAGGCGGAAAGGTAAATCTTTGTAAGCCAGCCTGATCTATGGATCAAGTTCTGGGCTAGCTGGGTCTATCTCAAAAAACTAAAAAAGGGAAAAGGGCTAAAGTGATGGCTCAGCCATTAAAGACTAGATTCACAACCAAAAACTCTAAAAAATAATAGACAAAACCCAACAAAACCAGCAACAATAAAAAAGTGAAAAGAAAAAGAATCTGAAAGCCTCATCATTTCCACGTCTGAGAAAACTAGGGATATTGGCATGACCTCAAGGGATAGTATGAAAAAAAAATTATTTTATTTTCCTTACATTTGATTTGTGGGTGGATGGGTGCTTGAAGAGTGGGAAGGATGGCAGAAGATAAGCTATGGTACTCCATTATCGTCCTCCACTACTGAGTCTCAGAGATAAACTCGGTCTGTCAGGCTTGGTGGCAAGCACCTTTACCTGCTGAGCCATGTCATGGCCCCTGGATGAAGGTTAGCTGTAGGAACCAGCCTCATGCAGAATGGCAACCAGCACCCATAAGTGCTTAATCACATGCTGTAGAGACTTCTCACCCCAGCCACGTGTAACTGCGAGTCACTGTCTGTAAGTGCTCACTACGGTGGTCAGGCCGTCACTGACCAGGGCAGAGAGGACCCCCTCAGCCTGTTTAAAAGGCAAGCTTAGGTGACTAACAGGAAGGGCAGCACTCTCTCACCTGCTGGGTTCTGATCTGCACACAGAGATGAGGTGAGAGGCGAAGGCAGTCTCAGAAATGAACCTGCAGATGGGCCTGCAGTCTGCAGAGGGTCTCCGTACTGCAAACACAGGTTAGACAAAGGGTTCCTCGAGCATGCCCTGGACACATGGCAGTGGCCGCAGAGCTGTGGGTTTAGGGACAAAGTGCTGCACACAGTACCTGCCACACAGTGCTCAAATACAGCTGTGGGTCTGAGGACGCAGTACTCAGCACAGTCCCTGATGACACAGGGCTCATTCCCAGCTGTCAAGCGCATCCACAGACACCTTTTTAAGCACCTTTAACCCCAGCACTCAGAAGGCAGAGGTAGACAGATCTTTGTGAGTTTGAGGCCAGCCTGGTCTACACAATCACAGGCCAGCCAGGGCTTTGTAGCCAAAACTTGTGGAACAGTTTCCTCCAAGACTGGAATATTCCATCCTGCAGGAAAGCTCCCTATGCAGGAAGGTAAACAACTCAAAGGACTTCTTCGGGAAACACCAAATGGCGATGACACCAGTGCAGGTGGAGCACCCGGGGGCCCAGGATTAGGAGGCTTCTGCAGAGGATTCTGCAGCGGTCTTAGGGGCCTGAGTCATGATTGAGGCAGTGGCTGTGGGGCTCATGGAGATAAAGCTGGGCCATCTGGTTAAGGACGTGAAGATCAAGTCCTGTTCTCCTTGCCCATCAATCCGAGGTTATCAACTTTTTCCTGAATGCATCCCTAAAGGATGAGGTTCTAAAGATCCTGCCAGTGCAGAAGCAGGCATGGGCTGGCCAGGTTCAAGGCTTTTGTCACTACTGGGGACAATGGTCACCTTGGTCTTGGTGTTAAAAGCCCCAAGGAGGTAGCCACTGCCATCCGAGGGGCCATCATCCTGGCCAAGCTTTCCATCATCTCTGTGTGAAGAGACTACTGGGGGAACAAAACTGGCAAGCCCCACACTGTCTGTGCAAGGTGACAGGCCACTGTGGCTCTGTCTTGGTGCATCTCATCCCTGCCCCCAGAGGACTGGCATCATCTCTGCTCCTGTGCCCAAAAAACTATTGATGGTGGCCTGTATTGATGACTGCTACACATCAGCCAGGGGCTGCACTGCCACCCAGGGCAACGAACCACCCAGGTCTCCAAGACCTACAGCTACCTGACCCCTGACCTCTGGAAAGAGACTGTGTTCACCAAGTCCCCTTATCAGGAATTCACTGATCGTCTTGAGAAAACCCACACCAGAGTCTCTGTTCAGAGGACGCAAGCTCCAGCTGTGGCTACCACATAAAGGTTTTTATACAAGAAAATAAAGTGACTTATGTATGTTAAAAACAACAACAAAACAAAACAAACAAACACTCAAAGAAGCTTCAGGAAGTCCCTGAAGCTGGTCAGATTCACTAGGCCCCTCCCTGCCAAGAGTAAGCCATAAAAGCTGAGTTCCTCTGAGACTAGCAGAATAGAGATGCAGAGAAGACTCTTAGACCGACTGCCTGGAAAAAGCTGAAACCAGCTGAGCTCTCTGAAAGAGGCTTAGACCAGTGGTCCACAAAAATGACCTATTCACGGGAGTTGCCAAGGCCATCCTGCATATCAGATATTTATAAAGAAAGCTCCTCTGTCCACCTTTCTATGCTGAAATGACAGGCAGGCCGCCACACTGTCATCATTTACATGGACAGTGGGGAACTGAACACACCTGTCTTGGTGCTTGGGCTCAAGTAAGTAACCACGCAGTTAGTCCCAACATCCCTCACTTCTGGTTTGAGGCAAGGTTTCATGTAATTCAGGCTACTTTAAATTTGAGCTCTGGCTTCTCCTACCTCCACCTCCCAACTGCTGAGATTACAGGTGGGTACCAGTAAGCCCAGCATTTAAAGTAAAAGTACATCCAACATTAACGAGCATATTTTACAGGTTTGCTGATGAAGAGCTATAAAAGAGCACACAGGTTCCTAACGTCTGTAAAACTAAATATGACTCTGAGACGAGGACCAAGCATCCCAGCAGTCCACTTGCCATGCCCATAGGCAGGCTATAATCCTTTCACTAGACCCTCTTGGGCTGGAAAGAACAGAAAACTCTGCAGACACAAAATTCAGTGCAGAAGTGACCTCAAATCCTGAGTTCAGAATTTGAACGCTTACTTGACTTCCCACGACCTTTGACTGAGAGAAGCAACATTGACTCTCTCTGGTGTCGCCTATGTCCCAAAGGCAGGCAGTCTGGCTTTCCATGTTGATTCTGAAATTAGCTTATAAGGATAGTGTATTTCAGAATAGCTGAGCAGCTGTCATCACGCCATTGGCTCACCTCGTATCTAGTGGGCTTTGGGGCACCTGAGGTGGCTGTGGAAGGGACCTCAGACTCGGCACTTGGCGGAAAGCCACCCGATGCTTGCATCAGTCTGTCGAAATTGTTTTCGTTGGGTACCTCTGGATTAACAAAGGACAGCGCAGGCTTATCTGTTTTTAGACAAAGCATTGGAAATCAGCAGAAATGTACAGAGTATGCGACATTTCAACTTGGAAACTAAACCATTCTTAGCAGCAGTAAGTTTGATGTAAGAAAACTGTGTTTCTGGGCTGTCTAGGTGGCTCAGCAGGTAAAGGTGCTTGCCGCTAGGCCTGACAACCTGAGTTGGGTCCCCAGGACAAGCACAGTGACAATAAAGGAGTCTAAAAAAAGTCACCCTCTATCCTACACAGGCATGCATGCACACTCACACACATATATAATTTAAAATGTTTTCTTGCATATCTGCCCCTCCCAGGATTTCTTGAGGCTTTTTAAATGAACAGGATTCCTAATCACCATGCGTTTGAGACCACCTTGGTCTATATGGTGAGTTGCAGGCCAGCAAGGGATACACAGCAAGACCCTGTCATGAAAAAGATCAATAAACAAAAAGGATCGCTAGACTATGCTGTACCTAACAGCCATTGCCTCGAAAGCCTGCAGGGAAACAAATAGCAGAAGCCAAGGCACAGGCAGGGCACTTTCTCCAAGACACAGACCACAGTCTGCTTCTTCCCCTTCTAGGGGACACTTTCTCTGGGTGGCTGTGGGAAAGTAAGATTCATCTCTCGGCAGCCACCTCCTGTGCTGCGTATGATGGAAGAAGCGAGGGAGGCTCCATGTCCACTGGGCTGCTGTCATGGCTTAGACAGTCACTGGTCACTTGTCACTTTGGATAAATCATGGCACATTCCCCCACGTCTTTAGTCACGAGGGAACAAACCCCAAACATGGAAAGACATTGGAAGGAGATGATGAAGCTCAGCTGATAGTCATGAGTGTGCCTCTGCTCCCCTGAGAACAGCACACGCAAGAGCACTTTGGACCAACACACTTGCCTGAGCTTACTGCTCAGATAAAAATAAAAGTCCTGTATTCATGCAAATACTCTTAGTAAAAATAAAAACCAAAAAGGAAATGGAAACCACAGGTACCATTTTAAAAATAAGATTTTCAACCATTACGCTAAGAGGAAACAAACGTGCACGCACACACATGCACACACAACCTGGATTCCCATGTCTACATGGCATAAACATCTTTGAAGTCATGTTTAAGAAAAGGCGCCTACAGCACAAGTACGTGAAGACATTGTGGGTGCCAGGGAGCTATAAAGTTACCTGTAAATCAGCCTGGGGCATCAATTATTCACACCGCCACACACAGGATGGGTGCTTTAAGCGGATCTGAAGGAGGTGTTTTTCCATAAAGTAACCTTTCAGAGAAAAACAGAGCTACACAAAAATCTATCAAATTCAAATACTTACAGTTCGAAATTTGGATGCAGAGGACAGATGGGTTGGTCTGGTCGATGAGTCTGAGGACACGGTGAGGCGGGTCTGCTGTCAAGTTCATTGAGTAGATGGCTGCCTTCTGACTACAAAACTGCCTGTCTCCCCTGAAAGTTAACAAAAACAAGAGCAAGCCCACAATCTAAGCCGGATCATCTGAAACCTGCCAGATGCCTTCGCTACGGTAGTAAGAACTACAGAAACATGGAGGAAGGTGTGATGCCAGAACAGAAGCCATTTGGGTTTATTTGCTGTTTCAACTGTGATACTGAAGCTTTACTTCTGTCAGTCATGGTGGTGCGTGCTTTTGATCCCAGCACTGGGGAGGCAGAGCCAGGGGGTCTATGAGTTCAGGTCAACACAGCAAGTTCCACACCAGTCAGAGCTACACAGCGACAGCCTATGCCAAAAATAGATAATAGCAGCAGCATTCGAGGGAGCATGTTGGGTGTGGAATACTCCAGAGCACTCTCCCACAAACTTGGACAGCATTAAGATTATGACATTTTGGGAGCTGGGGGGATGGCTCAGTGGTTAAGCATTTACTGCTCTCACAGAGAATTTGGTTCAGTTCCCAGAACCCACATGAGGCAGCTCATGCCTGTAACTCCAGTTCCAGGATATCTGACGCTCTCTTCTGGGTACAGTGGGCACTGCATGTATGTGGCGCACATGACAGTGCAGGCACACACACATGTGCTGACGCAAGCAGGCAAATAAAAAGCACAGCAGGAAGTTTTTCAAGTGTTTTTATTACGTGTGTGTCATGCCTTTTCCACGGCACATGTGTGTAAGTTAAGAGTCAGTGTCCTTCTACTATGTAGGTCCTAGAGATCAAGCTCCAGCCAGCAGGCTTGGCAGGAGGCCCTTTACCCACTGATCCATCTTGCCTTGCTCTCCTGCCCACCCTGCTCTATCTTGGCTACCTGCTCAGCCTGTGATACGACCTGGAGTGCATGCCTCCCAATTTCAGCTGCCCAACTTGTGCTTGACCTTTGGATCCAACACAGCTCAGATCATGTTTTCTAGAAAGCCTTCCCTGGCCTAGCTGAGTTCGACCACATTCCCAGGTGTTCCTTGGGGCTTTGCCTCATTCACCTGTCTCCCTCATCCAACAGTAAGCTCTCAAGAGTGGCATGGGCAGCCAGGCAGTGATATTGTACACCTGTAATCTCAGCACTTGGGAGGCAGAGGCAGGATGCTCTCTGAGTTCAAGGCCAGCCTGGTCTACAGAGCCAGTTCTAGGACAGCCAGAGCTACATAAAGAAACCCTGTCTTGAAAGACAAAAACAAACAGCAACAAAAACCAAAACAAAAGTAGCATGGGCGAAGGGCAAACCCAGCTTTATGTCCCTATGCTAACAGGAAGTGCTCAGAAAGGCATGCACAGTGACAGTGACTATGTGTGGAGACCTGCCTAGCCTGTGCCAGCCCTGCTTCCATTCTGCCCCGTCCTGCTCTGGAAAAAAAAAAAAAAGGCCAGGAAGATGTAGGGCCAAGAGCCTCAGGTTTCCAGCCTTCTGTCTGCCTGAAAGGCTGACAATGCTGGAAGTGAAACCAGAACTCTTTAACTTAGCCCCTAGCATATTACCAGGGACCATACACACCCAAAGCCTGCTGCATGCAAGGCCAGCTCTCTAACACTAGGCGGTGTCCCAGCCAGACAAGATTCAATGAAGGCCTGTTATGTGGTAGCAGCTGGGCTGGCAATGACTGCACCAGCGAGAGATATTCCTGTGCTCATTAAGGTTCCATCTGATGGGGACAGACTCACTCAGGATGCCCACAACATCCTGACAGGATGAGTTGGTGACAGCTAACAAACATAATGAAAACTATGACCTGAAGTCTGTATAAAGGGACAGTCTATAGACTAGCATTAGGACTTTTGTTATTTTTTCTTTCTTTTTTTAGAGCTAAGGTCTCCCTATAATTACCGAGGCTAGTTTCTAACACCAGGGCTCATGTGACGCTCCTGCCTCAGGCCACCCCAAGGACCTGTGGCCACAGTAGTGTTGAGGTTAATCTGGTTTGAATTTTTTTTGGGAGGGGTTACTAACACCACAAAACTAATTTTAAAATTTTGAAGTCTTCCAGCACTCAGGGAGGCAGAGGCAGATCTCTGTGAGTTCAAGGCCAGCCTGGTCTACAAAGTGAGTACAGGATAGCCAAGACCACACAAAGAAATCCTGTCTCAAAAAATAAAAAACAAAACAAAAACAAAAAATAAAACAAAACAAACAAGTAAAAAAACAAAACAAACCCCACAAAATTTGAAGTCTTTTCCTTAGAGTTTTAACTCTAGCTCTCAAACTAGGGACCTACAAATGAGGTCTGTTTTGCCCACCTGCTCATTCAGGTATCAATGGCAGCTTTTGCTCAACTACAACAGCCATCCATGTGACTTGTGAACTCTAACATGTTTCCTGGCTGGCCATCCTCTGTTCTAATTATTATAGTTTATATCTAAAGTTACCATGTTTGGGGTCAACAAGATGGCTCAGAGGCTAAGGCACCATTGCCAAGTCTGATACTGTGAGTTTGATCCCTGAGACCCACATGATCAAAGGAGAAAACTGACACCTTATTAAGTTGTTCTCTGACCTCTACATGGGCACCACAGCATGAGCATACACACACACACACACACACACACACACACACACAGTAATTAAAAATGTAATTACAGAAGGGCTAGGTATTATAAGGCACACCAGCACTAGAGAGGCAGAGGCAGATGGATTTCTGAGGTTAGTGTAAAGGCTGGTCTACATAGTGAGTTCCAGGAAAGCTAGGGTTACCTAGAGAAAGCCTATCTCAAAAAAATTAAAGGGGCAGAGAGATGACTCATCAGTTAGTTAAAGGTGTGAAGACCTGAGTGTGGTTTCCAGTACCCATGTTGGGCAGCTCACAATCTCCTTTTATTCCAAGTTCAGGGGATCCAATGGCCTTAGCAGGAAACTGTACCCATGTGCACACCCACCCTCAAGACACACATGCATACACATAATTTGATTTGCACAGTAGAGCTTCTAAATTGTGTCCCCAAATCTTATCCTCCTGGCCACACTGCCATCAAAGTCCTTGTCATGTACTTACGTGACAACTGGGACTGAGCAGATAGAGAAGACGCTGAAATCTGTGGGGCTGCAGTCAGGGTCACAACAGCAGTTGATATCACACTGTGCTGGAAGCAGGTCACAGACACACAGAGCAGCAACTACAAAATAAAACAGCGAGGTTCAGAGGGTCACAGTAAGTAGACAGTTACTGCTCCTTGCCACCAAAGGATTCCAGAAATCAACGCCACTAAAGTGTCTGGTTCCTTGTGTCCTTGGGGGAGAAAGTTGCTCATGGAAATCAGTCACTCCGAGACCCCACATCAGTGTCTCCCTAAAGTGGCCACAACTGCCTACACTCCCACCTCACAGAAGATACCCTGGAAGGACTGTGGGCAACCTCATCCCTCTCCTCACACACAGCCAGGCTGCTTAGAAGCTGAACAGTCATAAGATCCTGACCAATAATCAAATGCTCCTAATTTGGCTTAAAATGTCTCTTTTTCTTTTAAAAATTTACAATACAGGGCAATAAATTTATGATGTGATAATAAAGCATGGAGGAAAAGCAAGGACCGCCTCCCCCAGTAGGAACTTTGGCCTTAACCACTCTGACGGTCACTGTGACTCCAGTACTCCACTGTTAAACCCACATAACAGATAGGGAACTTGCACAGGCTCCCCCAACAGTCCAGAAGTCTCCGAGAGTTCAGGGGGCTGAGTACTTGACTACACAGCTACAGTTTATTTCTGATTTTATTGTCCCTCTGAAAGAAGGAACAGAGAAACTGGAGAGATAGCTGGGCAGTGAAGGACACTGGCTGCAGGCTGGAGAGTTGGATCAGAGGTTAGGAGTACTGGCTATACTCCCAAAGGTCCTGAGTTCAATTCCTAGCACCCACGTGGTGGCTCATAACCATCTATGCCCTCTGGTGCCCTCTTCTGACTGTAAAAAAAAAAAAAAAAAAAAAGAGAGAGAGAGCACTGGTTGCTCTTGCAGAGGATCTGGTTCCTAGATCCCACAGACAGTACAAAACCATCTGTTAATCCAGTTCCAGGGGATCTGGTGCCCTCTGCTGGCCTCTCCAGGTACCAGGCACACACAGAACACACAGAAATACATGCAGGCAAAACACCCATTCACGTAAGATAAAAAGGAACGAACCTTAAAAAAAAAAAAAAAACAACCAGACCATGAGGAGGAAGGAAATAATAAATTCAAGGCCTTTCCCTGTGTATCCTTGGCTGTCCTGCACTCTACTTGTAGACCAGGCTAGCCTCAACTCAGAGATGTGCCTGCCTCTGCCTTCCCAAGGGCTGGGATTAAAGGCGCGCGCCACCATGTCCGGCTGCCTTTTATATTCTTCTGTTGCTTGTTCTCTGTTTCCTGAAACAGCGGTTCTTGTGGACCAGGCCTCCTAATCATCCACCTCTATGCAGAAAATGTGAGGTCACAGGTGATCCTCTCCAGCCAACGACATCTGCGCTTGCTCACTAACGCCACAGTTCCCGGAATTGGGCTGGGAGAAAGAAAGCGAGCAATTAGGCTTTCCTGCCTCGTGTGTTTCAAATTACAGCCACAATTTGTTGTCAAGGCTTCAGACCCTTGTAGGTAGCTAGGTATGGATGAAGCAGGCGTTTTTAATAACCCCATGCAGGGGGGGGAAGAGTCTAAACCCTGACTGCACGTCAGCGCCCTGCAAATGTCTGCTGAGCTCTCAGTGATCTTCCACACCTCTCATGGCTGTGTGTCTTGCCTGGAGAGGACTAAGATGCCCACTTAGCACTCATCCTTCTACCAGCAGTGCCTACACCGCATCCTGAAGGCTTCTGTCTAGTACTCCAGTCCTGAGTCAGCTCCCACACTCCAGCTGCCTGAGATAACGTAGGAAAGAGGGTAACTTGGCCCTGCTTTTGCATGTGTGCCGGAGATCTCGTCTCCTTCTCCGGGAAGGCCGAGGAGGATGGAACTTTGAGCGGCTATCACTTTTCGTTCCTTCTCACTGGTCTACCCGTTCCTGGGAGTTAGCACTTTGTACCCACCGTCCGTGACCGGGGTGGGCCTGGGGCCAGAGAGCTCCGGGGCCCTGGGAGTCTCCGGGGTTTTAGGCGACCGGGAGGGCCTGAGAGTGGCGGGAGTGTCCTCGGTGGAGTTGAGATCCTCCTTCGTCACTGCCGGGGTGGCCACGGCCGGAGTGCTCGCCGCGGCGCAGCAGTTTAGGAACACCAGCAGGAGCGACGGGAGACTCCACAGCCCCATGGCGGAGCACAGCGTCCCGCGCCCAGGACCCGGGCCTGTGAGTTGCCGGGCAACAGACACAGCCAAGCGCGAGGAATCATGGGCAAGGGCTCGCGAGGCCGCCTGCATCGGCGGGAGGAGGTGGGGTCTGGAGCCCAGCCAGCGGGGATGGGTTTAAGGCTTGACAATACGAAGGGGCGGGGCCGTGGGCGGAGCCGGGATCGCGGGGGTGGAGCTTCAGGCTGCGCTTTCCAGGGAGCCTTTGATAACCCGGAAGACGGAAACCTCGGTTAGGACACTGCCAGCTGCGTGGCGCTTTCAAAAATGTAGATTCCCAGCCCGGCCTGTGGGCGCACGCCTGTAATGCCAGTCCCAGGACGGCCAGAGCTGTTACACAGAAAAACTTTGTCTTTGTCTTTGAAAAGAGAGAGAGAGAGAGAAATCAGGGAGAGACTGTGAGTTTAGGTGTGCTCAAGTTTATTTCCTTTTTTTTTTTTTTTTGGCTAACTTGACAGGCCTTTGGTGGTATCTCATTGTTGGATCTCTCCTGTAGCTCCGGCTGGCCTCAGACTCACTATATAAGTAAGAATGATGGATGGGATGCCAGGTGCACATCACCAAACCCAGTGTATAGGACGGTAGAGATCAAACCTAGGGTTTCATGCGTGCTAGAGAAGCACGCTACCAACCACACCATATCCCCAGCCCTGGTTATTGTGGTTTTGAGACAAAGTCTTGCTGTGTCTCCTCCACCCCTTCCTCACCAGCCTCTCCAGTGAGGGGACTGCAGGTCTGTGCACCCCCTGTCTGCATTTGAATCCTAACAGCCCATTGATGAGCCATGACATATTGACTTTACAGTTTAATTCTGTGGTACAAAAGCACACAGAGTCTTAGAGCAGCTGTAACAGACCTTTGGAAGACTTGGGCAGGAGAATGGCCTCAAGTTCAAGGCCACCCTGAGCTACATGAGAAGACCTTGCCTGAAAGAAGAAAGGAAGGCAGGCAAATATAATTCCAGTATTCAGGAGGTAAAGACAGAAGATCAGGAGTTCAAGTTCAGCTTCAGCTGCATAGCAAGGTCAAATGGGCCACAGGGCATCCTGTCCTAGAGAAAGATACAAAGAGCCTCAAAAATTGAATCAAGCTACCCTTTTAGTCCTGTGTCATCTGCTGCTCTTCCCTTCCCAACTTCTCTTTGGGGTTCTGTTTTGTAAGCCCTTGTTCTGGGGATCTGCAGGAGGTGCCTTCTCTGGGCATCTCTTTCTGAGGCCCCATGGTTCCTGGTCCCATGGTGCTGCTACTGATTGTATTACAGCACAGGAACACCACCCATCACCCCACATGTACTAGAAAGAATAGACAGATTTAAACGCAAAATTGGAGGCTGGAGAGATAACTCAGTGGTTAAGAATGCTTACTGCCCTTGCCGGAAAAAAACAAACAATTTGGTTCCTAGCCCCCCCCCCCCCCCGACACACAACAGCCAACTGCCTGCAAGTCTAGATCTAGGAGGACAGGCTTCCTCTGGCCTTTTTTGGCACCTGCATTCACATGTACATACACACACTCACATACACACATGTATACATACTTAATCCTTAGAAGAAATCATATAAAATATATTTTAAAAAAGGTTTTTTGGTTTTTCGAGACAAGGTTTCTCTGTGTAACAGCCTGGGCTATCCTTTTGTAGACCACACTGGCCTGGAACTCACAGAGATCCTCCTGCTTCTGCTGAGGCAGGCTTAAAAAGTCAGACACAGAGCCAGGCACAGTGGCACATGCCTGTAATCCTTGCACTTCGGGAAGCAGAGGCAGGCATATCTCTGTGTGAGTTCGAGACCAGCCTGGTCTATAGGAGTCCAAAGCCAGGGCTACACAGAGAAACACAAAAAATCAGACAACAGCCAGGCATCCTAAAACTCAAGGTTAGAGGCAGAGGCAGATGGATCTCTCTGAGTTTGAGGCCAGCTTTATCTACATAGAGAGTTACAAGCCAGTTGAGGCTACACAGTGGGACATTATCTCAAAACAGCAACGAACCCTAGCCTCCTGCCCTGCACACGTAATGGGGAGGTGGGGAGAGATCCCAATGATAGCTCACTGGGTACAGGAACTTGCTGCCAAGCCTGATAACCTGAGTTTTATCTCTGGTACCCACATGATGGAAAGAGAAAACCAACTTTCCTAGTTGTCCTCTGATTTCCATGCATGCTAGGATTCCAGTTCCGCTCCCAACACCCGCTGTCGGTGGCTCCAACTCTACATGATCTGTCGCCCTTGTCTGGCCTCCATGGACATCACACACATATGGCACACACAATCACAAAAAAACAAAGTTGGAAATTAAAAATTTAGGACACACTTCAGAGCAGTGCTTGGGTTCAAACCCCCCTAACTGAACTAGTAAAGTGACCGTGGATACATTCTGTGTGTATAAGGAAAAATGGGAGGTGGCATGGCAGTAGCCACTTCATAAGCTCTCAATGGGCTTGAAAATATTACTGGAGAAAGGGCAGATTACACAGCTGGAAATGACAGGTGAAGGATGATAGAGTCCACATAAAACTAAAGAAAATGTGGTATTTACCTTGAAGTTACCAGGCTTCCAAACTTTGCTGTTCTGAACATTACAGTTCCACATTCTGCCTGCAGGTGGCAGCGTTTGTCATTGAAATTGTTCATCTCCAGCGACTTCGAGGGAAAGAAATGCCATTTTTTCATCGGCTCCTACGAAAAGGCTCCGCTGGGTAAATGTGCTTCTTGGCAAGCCTGACAACCAGGATTCCAGCCCTAGGACCCACAGGTGGAAATCAAAACGGAATCCTGCAAGTTGCCTGGTGACCTCCACACACAGCCTCACACACCCCAAAATACAGAAAAATTAAGTTTTAAAGACACTTAGAAATTACCACTAGGAAGGGTTCTAGAGTCTTCTTTCAGAGAAGCTGAGGGGTCTCCCAGAAAAAAACTCACTTGAATATTGTTAGAGGCAGTTTTGATTGGCTGTCCTGGAATTTGCTCTGTAGACCAGGCTGGCCAGGCTGCCTGCCTCTGCCTCCCCAAGCGGTGGGATTAAAGGCATGCACCACCACTACTGCCTGGCCTTGAGGTAGAGGTTCTCACTTTGCTTTTTACACACACACACACACACACACACACACACACACACACACACACACAC